GAGAGAGAGAGAGAGAGAGAGAGAGAGAGAGAGAGAGAGAGAGAGAGAGAGAGAGAGAGCGCGAGACCTACATATAGGCCCATATGTGTGTCTTACCTCTGGCCTTGACCACCAAGAGGCAGCAGGCGAGCATCAGGCTGATGACTGCAAGCTTCATGATGTCTGTGTGACGGTGATGACAGTTCTAGATATGACTCTCACTGTTGCCGGGTAGGACAGGAACGATGGGCACGATGCAGTCGCAGGAACCTTTTATAGCTCGCTGGCAAGGCTGGTCGCATCTACGAGGACGCTAGCGTGGAGGGGGAGGTGGGTGGTCGTCGTGTAGTGATGGATGGGGAGAACTACGCCTCACTCTTCCATGCGCTCGCGTCGTCGGAACGTGTCGCGAGTGAGAGAACATGCGAGGAACTTTGTGCGCGCCGTTGGGGGTTCGCATATGCTTCTTGTTGCAGCTATTCGTCGGGTGAGCATGCATAAATAGAATTTTATAAGTTTGTTCGCAGTCGCTCCGTGTGTGGCTCAACCCCCGTCCTGACTAATCATCGTTTGTTGGTCTCACCAACTGGTGCCTGGATTCATTTCCCGCCTCTTTTTTTAATACTGCGCGAACAACAGGATAGGGGTTGTCACGCAATTGCTGTCATCCTGTAAGTTGGCCGCACCTGCTGGTACGTACGTGTGGTGCGAGAGTCGTTCATCAGGTAACACGATATACTGAGGCTCTGTAAGGCAGAAGCATAAATAGTACAATTGTCGTGGGTTGACAAATGTCGTATGTTTTGCGTACGACGCTGCACGCGCAGAAGGGAATGACATCAGGAGTGTCATAATTAGATTATGACACCTATCAGCATCTATATTATATATTATATCTTTTATTACCTATAGTATTATCTATACTATATATCTATCATCTATATTATGACACTCCTGATGACATCTTACAATGTTTGCGAGTATTTATGATTGTTTCTGACGACGAGGCCCACTCGTCCACAGATAACTGATGTAGGCGCCAGTTGGCGCGCGCTCTGTTGCTCCAGTTACGACGTCGACGTTGTTTCTATTGCAAGCTCTGCGGCCGATGCAGGCGTGATTTGGACAGCTGCCAAAAGCGATTCCAGTTTGCGGAGATTCTCGGATATCATAGATTTCGATGGCACTCCCTTTCTGCGCTTTGAAGCACGTGCGTGCGAGATAACATATATATAGTGAGTGCGTGTGAGAATATAAACTTGAATAGCCCCCCCCCCACCCTACCTGCGCGCTCCCTCCCCAGGCTCGCAGCCACGCAGCCACAAGTAAAAATTTTACTGGTACATTTCACTGTATATGTAATTCTAGAGCGCATATGTGTCGTCAAGAATACATAGTAGGAAAGAACAGCAACCGCGCAATCAGGAGTAAATAATCCAAGTAATGAACTTACGGTGTTCATGACATGGTACACCATTTGCAGGTACATGCATATCATTACATGTCTTGCCCCGAAAGAAATAGGTTGTTTTATCTGTTTTTGCATACGACGCGGTGAGGTATGTGGGTAATATATTGAGAGTGTGGCAGTGATATGTTAGCTCTGTCATGCACGCTCCTCCCATGCGGGCTGCAACACACACACAGCAGGAAAGATTGCACAGCTGCTGTCACCAATATCTGAGTCATGCAGGTTAATAGAGAAATTAATATCTCGTTTTATCGGGGCAGGCTGCAGTACAATTTAGTGACAAGTATGCAGGGTTCGTGGATTTGACTTATCAGCCTGAAGTAATTGATATGTAGCTGCAGCATTGCGATGGAATGTGCAAAAAAATTGGTGACAATCCAGTCGTGACTATTTGGTGACATATATGTAGGGTCCATGTGTTGAAGACGCGCATTGGACCTATCCATCCATGAAGTGATTCACACGTAGCTGCAGCGTTGTGATGGAATGTTGAAAAAAATGCTGCCCACTAAGATAAGAAAGTGCCCCAATTTGGTCTGCACGTGTAAAAAAACACGTATAAACTGGTCCAGCTTTGCTGACCTAGCAAGAATGGCTGGTGGTGGTGGTGGTGGGGGGAGCATCCCACTTCAATGTGTCAGTAATTATGTTTTAAGAATGTTATATAGTGCGTTCGATTTACTTCCCCAGAGCCACCTCGGTTAACCTGGGTAAGAAATCGAACGAATCTGGGTTAGGGAAGGTAACCGAACGGTTTTAGGGTTAACCTGGGTTAATTATCATCATGGATGCCAGTGACAAGAAAAAAAGAATAGCAATTGCAATCTTATTATTAATGAAATCTAAGAATGAGGAAACACAAGTGAGTGGCTCGGTTAGCGGGTTACTTCGGCCTCACCCGGGTAACGCAAAAATACCACGTGACTGCCAAATCGAACGTATTTGGGGCTGGCCCGAGTAGACCCAGGTTAACTTGGGGAAGCAAATCGAACGTATTTGGGGCTGGCCCGAGTAGACCCAGGTTAACTTGGGGAAGCAAATCGAACGTACTAATAATAACTGTTCTAGTTACAGCATTATAGGAACAATGCTATAGTTTTACAGTTTAAGGTGATTTTCCACATATGGCACTCATTGATTTTAAACCAATTTCGACACAATATCAAAAGCCCAAAAACTAGTGTCTATCTTCCACTTGTTGTCTCGTTTAAGGTTGTTTTGATGAATAATGTCTGCATTGTTCTGTGCGTGTGTTTCAGGAGTGTTGTTCAGCATTGAGGTCACCAGCACGTTCTTTGCTGTGAAGAACTACTGGCGGGGGTTCTTCGCTGCCGTGTGTGGAGCCATGGTCTTTCGCTTGCTCTCTGTTGTGTTCGATGAGGAAGGTACGTGCATGTTCTGTTGTTCATTATATCCGAGTACGTGGGTGTGTCTATATGTTCTATTGTTCATTGGACCCATCACTGAAGGTATGTGTGTGTGTTCCATTATTCATGGTGTCCAACCATAAAGGTACGTGTATGTGCGTGCGTGCGTGCGTGCGTGCGTGCGTGCGTGCGTGCGTGCGTGCGTGCGTGCGTGCGTGTTCGGTTATTCATTATTGTGTTCAACGATGAAGGTTGAAAATCTGTATTACAGAATGCGTAAGCAGATTTACTACATGATGTGTTCATGTGGTGGATATGCTCGTACTGCTGTTGACCTGAATTTTGTGCTTTTTATATGCAGAAACCATCACAGCTCTGTACAAAACAAACTTACCAATAGATTTCCCTTTCGATCCACTGGAGCTCATAGCTTTCTGTTTCATCGGGTAAGCCAACACTGTTGATTATTGAAAGCTAAATTTAGTCATCTGGCTTTTTTGCTACTCTGAAGTATTTTTTTTATATGCATGCATGCAGGCACTCACACATGCAATCGTGCAATCCTGAATAACGTATAAATATGTATATTGGTTCATGTTATGAAAAGCATATAAACTCATATAATGGGTATATGATCATGATATAATAGTTGTAGCATTATCAAACTCATCAAGCCAGATTCACTCCACTCGGGATTGCCATAGCATAATCCGGAAGAACTATAAGTGGGCAGACTGAAACTATTGTTGATAGACAGATGGGGTTATTAGAAGAAGACCTTAATGTGGACAACCTGTACCGATCTGTTCGATTCGACCTGTTCTGCTTTAGGTAGCTTTACCGGCTATTCCAGCAGTAGCATTCATGGTAGAGAGCAAATTGAAGCAGATATAGGCACCATTAATAAGCCTAGCACAGACCTGCGACTTTTTTATGCAACTCGACAGCGATTCTAGAATCCCTGTAAAAATTGCTGTGAAATCGCTACATCTGCGGGAACGTGCATCTGCAACCCGTAGCGATTCTGGTCGCTTGCGACGAGTTGCAAGAAATGAAACTGTTTTGATTTTGAGCAACTCGTCACTCTCAATCACTCCCAAATTGCTCTAGAATTGCTTCGAAATCGCATGTGTGGGCACACGCGGTGACACATCGACCGATTGCTTGCGGTTGCAGGTTGCAGCGACGAGCAATCAAAAATCGCAGGTCTGCGCTAGGTTTTATTGATATTATTGCAGGTTTGTTGAGTGTCATTGGTGATATCAATGCAGAGTTGAGTTCCATTGGTGATATTAGTGCAAGTTTGTTGAGTGCAGTTAGGGACCTTACTACAGGTTTGTGCCATTGGTGATATCAATGCAGAGTTGAGTGCCATTGGGAATATTAGTGCATGTTTGTTAAGTGCCATTGCATGGTGATATCAATGCAGAGTTGACTGCCATTGGGAATATTAATGTAGGTTTGTTGAGTGCCATTGGTCATGTTAGTGTATATTTGTTGAGCGTCGTTGTTGATAATTGCGCAGGCTGATGTGTGGCTTCATCGGAGCTCTGTTCGTCTACGTTCACCGAACCATCGTCAACTTTAACAGGAGGCAGAAGGCACTGACCCGCTTCCTACAGAAGAAGTAAGTTGTTGCGTGAAGCCACGCTTCGTTTCCGCCCGCTAGCGTGTGCTTCCACGCTGTCTAGCACTCTCGCTCGCTACAGCCCCGCGACGCAATGATATGTATTACGTTATGTTAGGGTCGGTGTTAGCTTTCCAACCGCGCAAGAGTAACTTCCATGAATCATGTTTTTTGCATTGGAGTGCGGGGCTCGGAGGCGAGGGGAATTTTTAGCTCGTGCGATAAAACATGGCTTTAGGCGCAACTGAATCCGGATGAATTAGTATAATTATGCCTTTTTTAATTCTCGCGGGAATCTTTCTGTGATGCATAACAAACAAAAACACGCTCGTTGGTTTAACCTTGCGTTTGATTATTTATTCTGATAAGCTGGTAGGAGATTTATGCCACTATCTTCTTTATGTTATAATGTATTGACGTGTGTGTAAATATTGCGCAGAGTTATATGCGCAGAGCCTGAGGTCCCAAGTTGGGAAAATCCAAGAAAGGGATCACTTGTGATAATGGTCCATCGCCGTTTTTTCGCAGTGTGCAAAAACAGGAAAAAAGTTGTGGCGGGCTGCGACATGTACGTGTTTGTCGCGGCGCACCACCATTTTTTATAAAGTATACATGTTTATAAATTATATACAAATTTATTGTGAAAACACAAAAGTGTTTGACATTTGTGGCCTTTTATTGTTTGCTGGAATCAAAGTACATCAACAACCACGGCAAATTTAGTAATTTACTAATGTAAATTTTTAAAATATGGCTGAAAAATGTTACGACCGGGACTTTCTGGACTCTTAATTAACGGGACACCGGGACACCGGAACCAGCATGTCGCACCAGGACGATCCCGGTGAGACCGGGACACTTGGGACGTCTGTATACGTATTTGCATATCCTGCTAGCTTGTCCGTGATCTCTTTAATAAAATATATTTATCTACGTGCAGTAAATATATAGGCGTATCTAAAACTGACGGGTGAATTTTATTCGCAGCCTACTACCGGCTGTAAGGTCAGTGGAGAATATGACCGTCGGGTCTCTTATCTGTTACTGCCGCATGCATTATTCACGATTGTGACAAGTATTTTATTGCGGCCATATTGTGCGACACTACTAATTTATTGCACGCTTTGTTGCAACCCCCCCCCCCCCCCTGTCTGCAATCTACACCTTCGCAAATTTATTGCACTTACGGCGAGCAAGGCCAGGGCCGCGAGAAGCGGATTCTTGTAATAATAGCTTGAGCTTCCGTTGCTCTTGCATTTGTTTAGAGATATTGCACGCATACTTAAACACACGCGATTCGCTCATCTCACGACCCACACGTTAGATCGCAGTTCTTTCTCGCAGTTCTAGCCGCAGCGTCGAAGAATTAGTTATGATTTTCATTAAGCTGTGTTAGCAACACTCACACATTATAGTTTGCATCCTCCCTGGCCATAGCTTGCAGCATCGAATAATTAATTATGATTTTAGCTATACTAGTTCCTAAACCTGCTTATTCCTTAAAGTTATGCTTAGCAATTCCCACACATTAGTTTACATCCTTCTCACCTGCATCTCACTTAAGTTTCTCCACAGACAGTTGAAACAGAATCGGTTAGAACTGAAAATATGATGGCTGTTGCGCGTTTGCCGTGACTCTCAAAAACCCAGATATGAAGCCCGTGTATAAGATTCACCCAAGGAAAATGCTAAATGTATCCTTTATAGACAGGCATCTGTTCTGCGACGGTGCTTACATTTCATAATTGCCGCTCAACGGATGCCAAAGCGTGCTTTATAGAGAGGTTTCCTTTCTGTAGAGGTCTCCCCGCATGCCATAGGCGTTTAACCGTAATTATATATGTATATATATATATATAGGTATATATTATATACTATTAATGAATGAGTATATATACGTGCACTCTCAGATTGGCAATCATATTTTCAGTTGTTACTGACTTTACCATTACATGTGCGTGGGGCGAGACACTGTGAGCATAAACCTCACGTGAGATCTAGAGCTGCGCATTTATGGCCGACGAGCAGAGGTTCGCTAATTAGATGGCAGACTGGAACACGACGACGAAGTGGCGGCGTCGGCGGCAGTTCGCCGTCGGACGTGCTACGTTACGCCGCGGTGTGGCGCCACCGATCACCATTGTCATGGTGTCGTCCTGTTGCGCGTCAGTCGATTTAACTCCAGCAACATAGCATTGCAGTGTCATGCGTCAGTTGATATAACTCTAGCGTCTACTTTTACTCTCATCGTATACGACATGAGAATGCACGCTAAGCATTGTAGCACATGCTGCATAAAAAATCATATGAATACGAGGAGTGGGAGTGTGTCTCTCTCTCTAGTATTAAGTCCTCTCCGTAAAATGTTGTTAAGCTTCTATGAATCTCCAAATGCCTGCCTTGCCTAGAAGGTATCTTCCAGGTCCCCTCTTGTGCATGCAGCAGTGGCTTCCTTCAGCTAATGCTGCAGTTCGCAAGTTGCATACACCCACCTAGTGACGCGAATCTTATCAGATGCTATCATCTCTCAATATCACCTAGCTGTCATCTGTTCCCTACATGTGTACCGTACATACCTACCTATCATGTACTATTTATGTCTCACCTAACTATCACTAGATGCTGATCACTGAGTTCTCTGTGCTTGTAGTTACTATAATCACGTTGCTTCGTGCTTGCATTCACTACATCTGTATCATCTATATACCATGTGTTTCCTCTGTCACCGAGCTGTAATGTCACTAATTGTCATGTACACCGGTGGTGTTTTTCCTAGCCACCCCTACAATGATAGGGGTCCCTCATGACTCGCCTGTGTCGTCTGGCTATATTGTCACCTAGTCGTCATGTACTATGTTAATATGCAGTTGCTGATTCTTGTGTTCTCTCATCGTTGCAGTCTGTTCATCCATACCCGGCCATCTTCATATCGTTATGTACTCTCTACGGCTCACCTTTTAGCAACATCTATGTCACATAGCTGTTATTTTGACACTGTGTCACCTAGCTGTCATACATCATACCCTCCATCTCCCACCATCGATGAGTAACAGCTCTCCTCATTGCAGCCGCTTCATCTACCCTGCCGCGATCACGATCTTCATATCGTCGGTGACGTTTCCGCTGGGGCTGGGCCGCTACATCGCGGGAGGCATCACGATGCAGCAGGCCGTTAACGAGCTGTTCAGCAACATCACGTGGTGCTGCGGAGAGGTCGACGTCAAGGACGAGGCGCTGCTCAACCACTGGCGCGTGCACAACGTCTTCGTCTCGCTCTCGCTCTACATCTTCGTCATGGTGAGTGTTTGTGGTGGCAGGGGGGCGGTGCCGGTGGTATTTTGTTGTTGTTGATGTTGGCGTCGTTGTTGATGATGATGATGTTTTATTGTTGTTGTTGTTGTTGTTCTTGGCAGTGGTAGTGGCGGTAGCGGCAGCGGTGGTAGTAGTGGCAGTGGTGGTGGTAGTGGGGGGCCAGCGGTGGTGGTGGTCAGCAGCAAGTGGGGTGGCCGGCTGTAAGTGGTAGTGGCAGCGGTGGTGGTGTGGTGCTGGTGTAGGTGAAGCGGTGGTCGTGGTGGCGGCGGCGGAGGTGGTGGGGTGTGGTGGTGTGGTGTGGTGGTAGTGGCAGGCGGGCTGTGGCAGGGGCAGTCGGCAGTGGTGTTGGCGGCGGTGGTGGTGTTGTATTGGTGCAGCGGTGTGGTAGTAGCAGCGGACGGTGGTAGTATGTGGCGGCGGTGGTGGTGGTGCAGGCGCAGTGGTAGTGGGCGGCGGTGGTGTAGTAGTGCAGCGTGGCTGGTGTGGCAGCGCGGTGGTGGTGGTGCAGCCGGCAGTGGTGGTGCGGCGGTGGTGTGGTTTGTATTGGCAGCGGTGGTGTATTAGCAGCGTCGCGTGAGTAGTCAGTGGCCGGCGGGTGTGGTGGTGGCACGCGCAGGTGAGTGGCGGCGGTGGTGTAGTAGTGGGGCGGCGTGGTGTGGTGGCAGCGGCGGTGGTGGTGCATGGTGGCGGTGGCAGCGGGGGAATCGACTGCAGATATACAACAGGGTTTCAGAAATTGTGACCGTTCTCTTTTCGTTGCAGTTCTTCCTGTCGGCGTTGGCGCAGACGATTCCGGTTGCGTCCGGCGTCTTCATTCCCGTATTTGTGTTAGGTAAGTAGTGCGTCACTTTCTCTGTAAGTAGTCTCTCTCTCTCTCTCTCTCTCTCTCTCTCTCTCTCTCTCTCTGTGTCTCTCTCTTCCCCCTGCCTTCCTTGCTCTCTCTCTCTCTATGTGCCTTTCTATTTGTCTATTTCTCTCTTTTTCTCTCTCTTTTTCTCTTTCCCTCTCTCCCCGCCCTTCCACTTTTCCTCCATCTCCCACCATCGATGAGTAACAGCTCTCCTCATTGCAGCCGCTTTATCTACCCTGCCGCGATCATCGTACCCTCCATCTCTCACCATCGATGAGTAACTAAGCTCTCATCATTGCAGCCGCTTCATCTACCCTGCCGCGATCACGATCTTCATATCATTCTCTCTCTCTCTCTCTTTCTCTTTCTCTCTCCCTTTCTCTCGCCCTCCCTTTCTCCCTATCTTTCTGTATCTCTCTCTCTTGCTCTCGCTCTCTCTCTCTCTTCCTGTCTCGAAATCTCATGGTGCATGCCGAATCGCCTTTGTGTCAAATCACATTTTAATTCTATAAGTGCACTAACTGCACTAAATGCACCAAACTGCAGTCAAGCGTGTGCACTTCCCGTGAGTGATCCCTATACAGTATGGTTTGACTGTACGTTCATTCAGTTTCTGATATATCTCAGCAACCTCTCTATAACGTGTAGACCTCTGCTTTTCTCTCCAATCGGGCAATGTCAGTGCTGTTACTAATAGCGTGTATAGTTTTCTTGTTGTTGTGACGCACGGTCTGTGTGTTACATCGTTCTCATGTGGCTCCCTCTAGGTGCAGCGTTTGGCCGCTTGGTGGGTGAAACTATGGCCGTCATCTTCCCAGCCGGTATTCGCATGGGCGCTACAGATTACCTGATCGTACCTGGTGGCTACGCTGTCGTAGGTGAGATGAAACGAGCATCTTAAACCTGTCGTATGACTGCCTGTGGTGAATAGTCGGCTCAAGTGTCCGGTCCCCCAGGTTTTTGGTTTTCCGCATATAGGGCCAACATGTATAAACACATTGTTATAGAAACCAGAAGTCTTTAGCAGGTCCCGTGTTGCTCTAGGAACGAAGAGGACTCAGTGCGTTGCTGGGAGATGTCGTGTGATGAGGCAATGTAGTGATGGAATGGAGTAAATGTTGAAGGGTTGTGCAGTGTTAGTCTCACACGTGTGGGGTTTCGATTGAGTGTGAGGGAGGTGGGTGCGGCGGGGGGAAGGGGGGGAGGTAGTCAGTCGCATCAGCTTCTCCATACTCTTGCCATGTCTCGGTCTGTGAAATATGCCAATTGCAGTAAAAACTAGATGATGAGGATGGGGACCCACGTGTTTGTTTCTTTTTATTTTATGTATATAGCATTTTACTATATATTTTACAATATGTATTGATTTTTGGTTATTGTGCGTCGGTAGGTGCGGCAGCATTGTCAGGAAGCGTCACACACACGATCTCAACTTCTGTGATAGTGTTTGAGCTGACCGGCCAGATAGCCCACATCCTTCCCGTCATGGTACGATAGATAGATTCAATAGATGTGTCGCGTACGTAACACGCGTTTTAAACGAGGTGATATTTACATTTTATAAACGCGAAACACTGAAACGCCTCGAAACTCGGTGAGAGGTGACTGTCTCTGCGTTTGTCCGAAGAATTGTTGAAATATTTTGTTGGATGCATATGCCGTGATGTCTCGATGAGGGTAATCGTTACAAATATCTCATTACAATATTATGCACCGTACACAATGTGCAGCATATTTTCCGTGACCCAACCTGCGACCTGGCGGCCAGCACTGTCGATATTTAGTTAGATAGACGGCTGCCAGCAGCTGGCACGAACCTATCTATACAAATCCTATATCCATATATCCATATTTGTACCTATATTCGTATATACCCATATCCTATAATCATCCCAGGTGCCACATGCCTGTGTTGTGTAGATGCATTCGTGAGGTCGGTGAGTGAAGGTTGGTTTTTCCTCCGCAGCTTGCTGTGCTGATATCGAACGCTGTCGCAAACATGCTTCAGCCGTCGATCTACGACAGCATCATCCGTATCAAGAAGCTGCCTTATCTGCCCGATATCATCTCGTCGAAAAAGAGGTGAGAGAGAGAGAGAGAGAGAGAGAGAGAGAGAGAGAGAGAGAGAGAGAGATAGAGAGAGATGCATGT